CTATCTATCTATCTATCTATCTCTGTGTCTATATGTATATATATATATATTATACACTTATGTATGTGTGTGCGTGTGTGTGTGTGTATGTATGTATGTATGTATGTATGTATGTATGTATATATATATATATAAACATACACACATGCGCTGACCGTGTTGAAATTCTACATATGCGGATTTGAAAATACCTAAACAAACATTTGATGCTACTTCCGTTGGCTTCGGGCCCAGGCCGCCAAGCCCATTTTGAGTAAGCTAGCCCCCCCTCCACCCTCCAACCTCCATCCTTCCACCCCTCCACCCCACACTCCTCCACCCCTCCACCCTGCACCCCTCCACCCCACCCTGACCCTCCAACCTACCCCAGAGGCAATTCTTAAAAATATGTTTTGCGGAGTCCTCATCATGAGGATCCATAAGGGCGGCAAAGCTTCGTGTAAACCCGGTCAAGCGAGGAAGGAGCGGTTTCTACCCCTGCACTTAGGGTTTAAGGCCTGTTCCTCCAGTGCTGGACAAGGGGCCTGCAGAGTCCCTTTGAGGGTCCCTTTTTCTACAAGGGTGCCGTACTGTTCTGGGGACCTAAAAAGGGACCCTAACTTAGAGAACTACCCATATAACAGAACATTCCCCCCAAAAAAAGAAAGTAAACCCTCAACCATCAACCCTGGCTCGGCAACCTAAGTCATAAAACGCCAAAGCCGAAATCCTAAGACCCAGACCCTATAAATCCTCTGTTTTTTTGCTGGGCAAAGCTCCGGGGGCCTTTCCGTACCAGTGCTCTTCGACGGAGTCCCAAAAAGTCGAAATATCCGAATACCGCCGGCCAACGTCATCGAAGCCTGGTTCCTCGCCAAGAAAGGGGTTTAGGGTTTAGGGTTTAGGGCTCGTCCAGTGCGTGAGCAAAGGAGCTGAGTTATCAGAATAGTGACCTCACCTCAGGTCCCCCTAAACTATTGCAGTGGCCTTAATAATTAAAGTTGGGTTTCGGGGTATACTATGCTATAACTATGATAAGGAGTTATAGGAAAGATAATTAATAAAGCCGCTATATGACCCTCCTTAAATACCCGCCGACTAGGACCGTAACGGCTTCATTAAAGAGCACATCGGGGGTCCTGGGAAAGTCTGCTGTTAGGTTGGAACCCAGGAGATCGGAGATTTTTCACAAAGCTTGGCAGCAGACAGAGGGAAATTCAGAAGCAACGGTTGTGATGATAAGAGTTTAGGGCTTCTACGGGGTGTAACAATGATGATACTTGTATTTCATCATCCTGCTAGTGACAACAAAATGGTAACTTTCGGGTCAAGGGTCTGGGTGTTGGGCTTAGTGCGAGTATGCTGAACCTGACTTGCTATGACTCCTAGAGGACGAATGGCTTCAGCAAGCAACCCCAAACCCTAAGCACCTAAATCATAAACCCTAAACCCCGACCCTAAACCTCGGGGTGACCTTCACCCCGGTTCCTCGCCCACACTTGGGGGCCAGCGGAGGTCTGCTATCCCTTCTCCCCTGTAGCTCTCCCAGCCTAGGACCAAACACCATAACCCTACACTTCAAACCCTAATAGCCGCAAGCCCAAAACCCTAACCCTGAATCCTAAAAAAACCCTAAGCCCTGAACCCCTAACCCTGAATCCTATTAAAGCCTAAACCCAAACCCCCTAACCCTGCATCCTAAAAGCCCCCAGGCCCTAAGCCCGAAACCGCTGAGTCCTTGGTACCAGGTCTCTTCCGTGCAGGTTGCTTCTTCACCGGCCTAGGTGGACTCAGGGCTGCAGAGATCAGCATGGTCCAAGGTTTAGGGGCTCTGGGTTTAGGGTTTGAGTTGTCGCATGACTAGCTAGTCCACGGCTGTGTGGGCCTTGGGGACTGCCAACGATTGCGCACCTCAGACCTCAAATACCCCCCTAACCCAGGCCAAACCCTTAGCCTACAACAACCGCAAACCCTAAACCCTAAACCGTCCCTAAACCCTAAACCAACCCTAAACCTGTAGCACCCAAAAAAAAAGCTGCAGGAAGACAAAGAAGCCCGGCAGTCGGACACAACCCCAAAATAGAATATACGGTTGATGATATAAGTCCTGCATTACTTAGGGTTTAGGGTTTAGGGGTTTAGGGTTGATGATATAAGTCCTGCCTTACCCCTTAAGAAGGAATGCACCATAATTATAGGGTTTAGGGTTAATTGCCCATAATAAGGAATTTGCACCACCATTCCCATAGTTTAGGGTCCTTAAGATCATGCAGGATTTATGTCATCAGCCGTACCAAACCCCTACCTACAGGCTGAATCTCTAGCAGGCTCTCCGAGTCGCCTGAACCCTAGACGCCGATCCCCCAAGACGATCAGCCTTAAAACCTTGAATCCTAGGGCTTAGTTAGGGTTTATATAGGGTGTTAGGGTTTAGGGTTTAGACATGCCTCTCAAAATCAGTTGAGTAAGCGAACAAAAGTTGGGTAGTTCTCTACAAAAAGGGCCTTTTAGGGTCCCTTTTAGACGGGTGCCGAACCCTAATTTAGAGAACTACCCTTATAAGCACCCTGATAGAAACCCCTATACAAAAAAAACCCTTACAGATCCCTTTTAAGGGACCCTAAAAAAGGAACCCTAATTTAGAGAGTACTATATTGGGGACCCTAATTTAGGGAACTGCCCAATTAGTAAGTAGAGACTCCGTGGTCCCTTCTCAGTGATGCGGTTTTTGTTGGGATTTAGTGTTTAGGGGTTTAGGGTTTAGGGGTTTAGGGGTTTAGCGGTGCAGGG